TGCTCGTTTCTACGTGTGTATGCACGTATTGAGTGTCACTAAGGGTCGCAGGGTACGATGACGAGATTCATCATCATCATCCTGAACTGTCCCATAGCAGGGCGAACCCTGACAAGGGTAATCTTCGTTCGCCCCCGAGAGTGCCGTTGGCACGTTGTGTTGTGGTTTACAGCTAGGCTGCGATATCTGACCTAAACTCTTCAGTTGTTTAGTTGTAAGTATACCATCCTTCACGTGGGTGACCGGTATTCGATTCCCCGCTGGGTGATAATTGCTCTTTTTCTCTTAAAAGAGTGGTTGCCACGTTGTGTTATGGTTTACAGCTAGGCTGCAATATCTGCACCTTTCGCCCAAAGACATCCGATTTCTTTTAAGTCCAAATTAGCCTTACAGGGACGCTTCTTGGTCAAAAACTATTCGGCGATAACAGAAACTGTTAACTAAGCTTACAGTCCAGTTTTGTTTGGGTGGTCACGGATGCCAAAATCAGTTGAAGATCTTTCCTTCGGAGAGGGACAGATGACGGGTGCGTGAGATTTTTCTCCGCTATTCGTGAGTATGGTGTACTTTTTACTGTGGGTTCCATCACTGCTTACGTGATAAAGTTTTTTTTTTCTATGTCGCGTCAAAATTAAACTAAATAGTCTCTGGCGAAAGCATGCGGCGCTTACTCCTCTTTTCTACACCGACCTACACAGACTCTAGTTACAGTTTTTGTTGTTGTTGTGATGGTGGTGGTGGTAGTGGTTGCAGTAGTACAGGTACTGGATGGGTGATGTGGTAGCTGTTACACTGGCTATATTTACTTCTTAGTACAAGTTAATGCTACCTATTTAAGTCTGGGTGGACACGGATGCCATGCTGATTTAGTTACAATATTTCGTCACATGGTGACTTTCCTATCCTTCAGAGAGGGAGATATGATTATGGGAGCGGGGGAAAAAAAAAGGGGGGGGGGGGGCTTATGCCAGACACAGTTAGCTGAGAGAGCTCAAAATAATATTTTAATGTTCTCATTTCTTGAATATTACTATTCTAATAATTTCGCCAGGTGATGATATGACTGGGTCGAGGGGAGGGGGGGGGGATATGACAGACACTGTTAGCTGAGAGCTATTTTCTTTCCTCTCCATTTTACCGTTCTGGGCCACAGCAACGCGGGGCCAGGTACAGCCAGTTAATCCATAAGTTCTTTATTGATGCCGCTGCTTTCTATGCGATTTTATGGTGCTACTGAGAGGAAATTTTGCACACATATGTGCGCTTTGTTATCTATGATGCTGACGGATAAGAAAACGCAAGGGCAATTTGACAGCCATTTTAGCTGGCGCATTGGCGCTGGACTTATTACATTCATGAAACATCGGCATATTTAACCTCTCTGTGAATGTGGTTTTTGTGTGTTTGATTTACTTAGGTATTGACATCGATACAAGTACAATAGACTGTGACATCTGATGCTTTTTGGTGCGTGAATGATACATCATTTTTAATTTGGCAGCAAACAGTGCCATTTTTCGGTAAGAAAGTTAGGCAATGACTAATTGAGCGAGACTAGTGCGGTGTGTTTGGTAATCTATTGAATTATGTTTTCATGTTTAGAGAATATGGTAACTGTCACACGGGTTTGCTTACATAAAATATTGGCGAAACATAAAAAATAAAAAATTAAAAGATTTCCGTGACAACCTTTGTTGTTACTTCAAATGCAACATGTCTGTGTAAGACATACTTTTGACGGGTTTCTACTTTATGATTAACCAAACATTTCCTGCTAGCTGAGGAAATGCAGAATTCATTTCTTTAGAGAATTATACTATCGGTAGGACGTTCGTGAGAATTTGGAAGTAACATTTCTACACCCCTGCCCAATTGCCAATTCCTTTTAGGAAAAAAAAAAATCAAAAACTCAACCACCTTCAACATGCTGCTAGCTAGCGGAAGCTGCCAACAGTCTCCGGCTATATTTGTGGTCTTGTTTACTTTCGTCGCTAAGGTTCTAGTATTAGCGCCATCTCTGAGCTTAAAGCTTCTTTCCTCTAAGTCAGACGGCTCATTCCTTATCCTGTTGTCAACTGTGTTCTTCTTGTCCTTTCATTTCTGATGTTTCCTCCTTGGTTTCAGCTCCTTCTCATTTGGCCAGGGACTACCATTTGAAGTTTTAACATTTTGATTATTTTACTTTGCCGAAACATTTTTTTTTTTTTGGTTTTGATAGACACGACATGTGAAAATATTCTGCAAGTTACCATAGTGGTATTATAGTTGTCTTCATGCAAAAAGAATGGGTTAATCATGTCAGATTTTGTGAAATGTTAGGTGGAACCTCTCAATAATTCTCTCCGTCATTTGTTTTAGCGAGATTCGACTATGTCGGTTTGGCTTGGTAGCTAGGCTCCGGTGTACGTAAATACCAGATCCCTGGAATATGCATCACGTCACCAGTCTTTCCCATCGTACCATAGAGGGGGTGGGTGGCTGGGTGGCAGGGTGGTATTGGTGGTTAGGTGCTCTGGTCCTGTCAGTATCTATTTGTCTTCCCTATTTGAGGTCATTATTATCCTATTGTGAGTCCCAACAGTCTTCTTTTTGTTAGATGCATGATGTGGAATAAGATGATTATAATTATGAATCCCTAAGGTGTAAAGATTAACACCATCATATGTATGCATACTTAAGCCCAAGCAACCATACACTCACACAAAAGTACATGTTTTTATTTCTTTTCACATAAAGCCATGCATGCATAACCAAATGGATACATACCTATTTGACATTTTCTACACTTGCGTTTTCTTTCATACCTGCCTATCAATGTTTTCATTTCAAAACATACATTCATATAAACATGTTCATCTACCTGTATGTAGGGACATATACACTTCCACATTTATTCACATGTCCGCATTTACGTCCGTTTTTCATACTAATTAAAGTGTTGCTCACACAGACTGTGTCGCAATTTTGACGGTTAATTATCTTGTATGTCCTTTACTGTGTGAATAAAGATAGGCACAACCGGACGCACGGGCGAAGTCTTGTCAACCAACATAGGACTGGGACTATCAACCGCGGGTCGCTGATGTATGTGTTGAAGGGGTAATCTGAACACCTATGGACGTGTCCGGAGTGCCGTGAAGATAACCAAAATCCTAATTCATAACTCATAACAATCGGCTCAAGGTTTTATTTCATAATCTGAAATGATTTGAAATATTGTGAGGTTTATTAGTTATCACATGACATTCACTCCTATCATGGTCGTATTTTCAAAACTATTTTTGTTAAAATTAATTAACCTGCAAAGCCAATTGCAAAACTGCAGCTACGTGAGTAACTATTTCGAAATCCATATTCCCTGTAGAAATTTTATTTCTTTATGCATTTGTCATTATTTTATGTTAAGAAAATTGTCCGTTTAAGACGTTTTACCTGATCACTTCCAGCCTCTGATCACGAAATTCATCTGCCGTCAGGCCACATTGGAGCATTTTTTTTTGTAATTAAGTTCACGATCTGAACCCACGACTTTCTGGTCCGCAGATGAGCGCTAGCCGCTTATGAAGAGGTTTAACGCTCGCCTCTTGGCTAAAATGTCTTGAGTTCGAATCAGCTCTGCATGGATTTAGCACAAACTTGAGGTTGGCTACGAGATTGACCCAGCCCTAATTGGGTAACGGGAAATTTCCTGGTCAGTAAAAACAGCCATAAAAATGTTAACCACTGGTCAATCTTAACTGAATATAAAAGATCTTTTTTATTTAACTTCAGTAGCAAAGAGCATATTTACAATATTCATATTTTAATAGACAAGACAGCACTGAAAGTGCTTCATTATCATGTTTAATTTCAACAATACCTGAAACCGGATTTCATCTTTGTATTGTGATAGATCAGGAAAATATCTATCTAGAAGAGCTTGATGTATGAAAGGGTAAATTTCATTTTTAAAAGATGAATTTGATTTGAAAAAGGGTGAATTTGACTTGTACAGATATAATTTGTTTCTTGCCGATCATGTATTAGATTTGGCCTTGTCAATTTCCCTACATAGATCAACACGACTTACTTTTTTAAGGTGAATTTCGTTACGAATTTTTTTTAAAATATAGATTAATAAAACAAAAAGAAAAGCTATACTGCATTAGGAGAATCTCTAAACTAAAATGTCATTACTTGCACATTACACAGTATTCATCTTCTTTGCTGT